TTGTAAGATTTAATGTCGACGAAGCGAAGATATGATTCACTTGTGTGTATTCCGGAACGATATCCATACGAGTACATCGTGAATCTTCGACGGGGATCTTCTTATTCATGTTGTGAATAAGAAGATACATACTCCTACTCCTCCTCCTCCTCTCTCTTTCTCTCTCTCTATCTATCTCGATTTATCTGAACGAGCGCGCACACCGATTTTTCGTCCTGGGTCGTTGCTAGGATTTCCCTCGGTTTCTCAACTTTTATCCTCGCGCAAGATCGCCGTCCACGGGGCCCACTTTTCACCGTGAATTCTCACGATATCGTGCTCGGAAAGTAGCGAAAACGTGCTCGAGGATTTCTTTCCCTTCTCCTCCGTCGCGTCTTACGAGCGATGCTCGAAAGGATCGCCGGCCGGCTCGCTTTGCACAGTCCGCCATGCACGGAGAATAAAACTGTCATCTCGAAAGTTGGCCTACTATCTCCTCGATCGCGATAATAGCCCCCGCAGCTACGAGAGGTGTCTTCCTCCTCTTTCCGTGGCTGCGTCGGTCTCTAATGCATGACGGGAAAACAAAGTTGTCGTGAATCTTTGTATTTATCGTGAGATTGTGTCTCCTTCTTTCCCGAGATAAACGCGGAAAGGAGAATGTAAAGCGAATATACTATTGAGTGTAGAACTTGAAAAATTAGGATTGATATGAAGGACTGGCTAAAAGCGATAAGGAGCTAAGAAACTTTTCACGAATGTTCGTTACCTTCTCACGGAGGAATTTTAAGAAATCCGTCCGGGAGTTCATTATTTCCCACTCGAATTTCACAGCGGGGAACAAACTGTTTTCGCTCGCTTCGGTTATAATCGTAATTTATTCAAACGTAAAAACCTACGATATGCACGATTGTAATCTTACGAGATTTCTTTTGTCGCAGCCTTCCTTCTCGTTTATCCCTGCCTCGTTATCATGAGTAACAGTAGTTTTCATTAAAAGCTGGAAAACGACGCGCAGTTTCTCTTTCGCAGACTCGAGCAAGGAGCAATTTATATCCAAGGCAGCTTCCGCTTTTTCGGCACATTCCGCAGCCTAGCATTTATGCGACACTCGATCGGCCAATGGCGAGCCGAGAAACGCGCCGCAGGTCTCTCAATATTTCAGGATTAAAAGGCACACTGCATATGAAAAACAAATGAATCGACCCCATCGAGATGGCAATGACAGTTGCTCTCGTGATGTGAAATGATATCTTTCTCTTATATAAAATAATTTTGATCGTGTAAAAATAACTTTTGAGACAAAATTGAGGTAAATAACGACTGCTCCGCCCGGTGTTCGCGCCCATCTGCTCTATCCTACCTCTATGAGACGCAGAAGGGAAGATGGGCGGCGAAGGCGCAAGATCAATAATGCGTATTTTACGCACTGCGTTTGCCAAGTTAAAGGCGCGCTCTTTACGCGCTCCTTTGTCTCTCGGCATTTCTTTAAACCAATTTCCAGTTATAGCTCGCACATCCTGAGTCGAAATTTTAGTCCTACATTAAGTCGGTTTAATTCTACATTAAGTCTTCAAAAATCTTCTATTCCTTTGATGCTACAAATGAGAAGTTACTTCTGCTTCCTCCACTCGAAGATTTAATGCAGAATTCGGAATTTCCCCTCGGGAGGCCTAAATTCCTTTTGTAGCATTAAAGAAGCACTGTTAGATCCTTTGATGCTACAAATAGAAAGCTATTTCCGTTTTCTCCTCTTGAAGATACAATGTAGACTTAATGTAGAACCGAAATTTCGACTCCGGGATCCGTTATCGATATCGCTTGATATGGAAGTATGCGTCGCGTTTTGAGACGGAGAAGATCGTTCCTTCTTGTTTACCCGCGTCTGGAGTTCCGAGCAAACGAGAATTCATTGCGCAACGTTGCGGCAACGGATCGGGAGGTGCATAATGCGAAGTTACTTGGTGCGGATTTATCATCAATGGAAATCGTCGGATTTATTTCGAGCCGACCTCGAAGTCGCCCTGTGCGTTGTCTGTCTCGCTCTTCTCGCGCGAACGAGCGGATGCAAATGCGTGCAGGTCGTGCCACGCTGCACCTGCCGCATATTCCGAACGAGCACGATCGTATGCCTCCTCGCACGACCTTGACACGCTTGACTCGGAGACATCTTCAATCCTCAAACGGCTGGATACATTCGCGCTACACACCGCAGCTTGACACCGAAAGATCGCTCTTTAACGCCCGCACAATCAAGCCTGAATTTCTGTAATTACCGGTAGAGCGCGCGGCATAATGTGACGTTGAAGTAATTGTGTTAACTTCGAGGAACTCCCGCCCACGTAGGAATTCTTTTTCAATAGAGAACGCGCTTGCATGCCTTTGTCGCGGATTTGCAAGTTAAAATAAGGCAAAAAATGCACAACCAGTCGTTCTAGTGTCTATCCGTATGAGTAATCGCTTGGGGGAAAAATACACCGAGACGGTCGCGCGACATGCGCGCTACGCTCGCTTTTTACGCTGCGCGTCTCGTTGTAAAAATTAAAACGATAAAATTTAATTTGACTCGGCCTCTGTCCACGACCTTGCTTTGAGGGGACGTAAGCGTTAAACCTCAGGTGTCAAGTGACGTCATATCCGACTTTAACCGAGTCGAAATTTCAGTCCTACTTTAAGTCTAATTTAATTTTGTATTAAGTGTTCAAAGATCTTCTATTGTGTTCAAAGATCTTCTTTTAGCGCTACAAATGGGGAAGTTACTGTCGTTTTCTCCACTTGAAGACTTAATGTATAATTTAAAATTTCGATTCGGGTAAGCTTGCTCTAATCCATGAGCCATGAGATGTAAAAAAATCAATTTCTATTTAAGAAATAAACAGTGAGGAAATCGCAATCAACAATTCCTCGATTATAAGGAGAATAGTCGACTGTGATCGGTTTTCTTACTGCTTAAGCAAATATTATGGACTACTTGATTTAATATATTAAGGCTTATAGCTCAATTCAAATAATAAAAATAAGATTAATGATTTAATTGTTAATGACAGGCGCAAATATGTATATACAAATATAACCGGAAATACACCGGCGTCGGACGAAATCTCGATACGTTTAGAGGGAAAGCAAAATCCTGTATGCAACAGGATCCTGTAGAAGGCTCGTGTTATGTTACCGCGTCTTGTGAGAGTTTATCGAATCGTAAGAATGTCGGAATGAATAGAGACTGTTATGCCGAGCGATTTCTCGCGATTTTCCTCGCGTCTCCCGACGATTACGTCTCCGGATAATGCTCTTTCGGCGTAACGTACATACGGCCGGGCGAATTGTCGGCTGCATTATGCGAATAACTTGCATTCTTGCTTGGAGATTCCGAAAGTACTTTGGAGCGTTCGAGCAGCTCCGAGACGCCGTGTGATTTCAGTGTCGCATTCGACGAAGATCGCGGGCGCGAACCGCCTCGTATACCTTCAACGCCGTCTATTAGGTGGTACAAAGTGCTGACAGCAGGCGGAAATTCTTCTATGAAGTTCCTCGACGACTGAATCGAATTCCTGTCGAAAGTCTGAAAAAAGTTTCATCCTCCCGAGCGAGGCTTGCGGGTTGGCAAACACGCTACTCGCGCTTAGATACGTCTATCGATCCTCTCGGTCGCGCCGGAAGGAGAAGATCGCCGCGATGATAACTCGCGAACGAGCCAATTTTCACGCTCTCTCGGCGAGGATCCTCCGCACGCTGTGCGATACCCGCATTCATTATCCTCGAAGGTCCATTACTTCTTGGATTAATCCATTTCACAGCAACGCGAGATAACAACCGTGTGAAATTACTTCGCTGGGCTTCGGAGACGTGAAAATTCGTCGGGAAATATTGACGCAATCCCTGCCGCAAAGGAGTCGTGCGCGTGTACGGTCAGCGACGAAAAGCCGGCGATAATTTTTATTAATAAGTTTTGAAACGCATTACGTGTCCAATAGGAAAATTGGTTTTTCTAATCATTCTCGGGGGATACATTTTTCCTGTTAGATACGAGCAAAAAGTGTACCGGGTTTCAGAAAGGTTTGAACTCTTTTTTCGATGCGACTTGGAACGCGAATGGTGGCCCGAACGAGGGAACTAGTTTTCGAAAAATAAGTTCAAATCGTTTTGCACGAACTGCGGACGACAAGGCGTTTTGGCAAATGACATTTTGCAAAATGGCGTAAACGTCACAAGAGAAGTCGGCCTCTGGGTTTCGTCGAAAACGGCAATTCCATCCACAGGGAAACTGATGGACAACACGTAAACGCTGAAAATGCAAAAGTTGCAACGTTCGAGCCAATTGCCAATTACGCTTAGACAGAAACAGGCGATCAGTTTTCAGGCTTAAACAATTCCGCGCACGATGGGAAGGAATTACATCTCGTTCCATGCGTCGTCGTCGTCGTAAACGCGTTAGCTTGCAATATCCCCCGCTGGTATGCGCTGGGAAGCACGCGTCTGCGATTTACGACGGACGTCACAAACTACAATCGAAGACAATTCAAGTCCACGGACATTTCCGCGACTACGAGGAGGAACAATGCTTTCGCGCGTCCTGCCGCGCAATTTATGAAAGTGATAACCAACAACATGACTCGCCGTTATGTTCGGGAGATAAAGTGTCTACGCGACGGGGGGGAATGAGGCGGAAAATTTCACGATAAGAGAGAGAGAGAGAAAGAAAGAGAGAATCAACGAATTCCGAGGCAAGGGTGAGAATGACACATAGTTTCGTCGTTTGTTCATCCGAGTGAGAGCGAGGGGAAGAGCCGCGACGTATTTCGCAGCCTAGTTCGCAGTTTGCATTTTGCGGAGTCGCACACGCGGCACGTATCCGCGCGATACGACAGAGTGGTGCAGTGTGTACGGTCTCGGGGGGTGGAGACGGTCCGCGAGGGTGCCCGAGGGACATCCGGCGACGAAGAGCGACGACGAGACGCGCGGAGTGTGAGAAGGACGCGGCGAGTGCGGGTGCGCGTCTGCATGCGCCGCAGCAGAAACTCCGTAGTACCGCAACCCGCCACTCACCGCTGCCTCGGCGCCACAGTCTCTCTCTCCGCATGTCCGGAGCCGGCTGAAACCGTTCGTACCTCCTCGACGTTCGTCCACCTACTCGCCTCCTGCAAAATGGTAAGTCGACGAACGTGCATGAAAATATCCCGGCTGCGGCACGACGCGTCGTTACGCTCTCGGTAACATCGTGGTGGACACACGGCCGTTCATTCAAGGTCCGTCCGTCCGTCTCGCGCGAAATTCCCGGGCTGTGAGGGAAAAGGAAATCTACGCGGGCGAGGAACGAGCTCCGGCGAATTCGCGCACGTCGTGCGAACGCCGCGAATGTCGTGCGCGGAAAGAGGTCGCGTGGCTAACGCAGACAACGTCCCGCATCCGCACTGTGCGTCGTCTGCTGCTGTCATCTGCTTTACTCGCGACTGGTTAGTAGTCGCGTGTAACGGAAGTCGCGCTTCGCAAGAAGACGCAAGAAATCAGGACGTTGTCGGCCGGATCGCGGAGGGACAATCGGCACGATGTGAAAACGCGATTTCCGCTCGGACCGAGTCAATGCGACGCACTTTAATGACCGGAAGAACGGGGATCGCCGTGGTGCAACGAAGTACGCGCTGTCACGGTTACCAAATCCACCGCGTGATCGCAGCACGTGACGGGGAAGCCCCGTGTGACCGACGCTTCTTCGGAGCGCGTTCATTCCCATTCATTTTCCAAATTTACTCTTTCGTTCGTTTCTTCATTTCGCGCCTGTGCATGCATACGTGCGTGCGTACGTTGGATCAGTTCGATTTGACGCATCTCGAACCTTTTCGCAAGAATCGATTGTAAAACATCTCGGAAGAAGACACCGTAAAAACCATTACACGTACTCACATCGCGATTTTTACATTCAAACCGACACCCTCCGTTGTTTTCATCAACGCACATTACAATATTTTCCTCGCCCTCCTTTCTACGGTCATTTAATCTCTCAATTTGGAACGGTGTCAAGGTTGCATGTTAGATATTTGTAATTTTTCAAGAGTATACGTACATTAGACGTGATATAAAGGTCGATATTTATTTACTAAGTTTTCCTACAATTTTCAACCTTATTCAGCTCACGTGTAAGGTTGAAAATCGCTGGAGAAATTCTATAGTAAAAGTAAGTGTCAAGGTATATTGTATGAGGTATATATCACACTCGTGTACATACGTAATGCATTCGGTCTGCGAAACAGATCATTAACATGCACCCGCTTATGCGGACGTATTGATCACTCACAGTGAAACGTACGTATCTCCGGGTTCCTACAAATACTTATGCACAGTTTAAATTAAAATCGAACGAAACGAAGCATATGTATGCATATCTCGCGTATTCGTAATTGAGTGTTTGAATAATAACCGCTCCAGAATTGGAGTATCGATCTGTTTTTCTTTAAAAGCTTGACGTAACGTTTACGTCGGAAGAGTTTTTGATATGTGACGTAAAACCAGCGCAAAACCGACGCGAAACTAAGCGAATCCGTACACACTGACGATTTTCTAGTTTATGAAAGATTTATTTTTTCACTTGCTTGGCTAATTTTCTTAATTTTGTTTTTCACGGGTAATCCTCCGACGTACAAAGGAAGAATATAAAATAACGGTTGCATAATATTAGCTCAATTGAAGGGAATAGCATAAATTGAGGTATCGTGTAAATTGACATTCTCACGCGTGAACATTATCAGTAGAATTCAACCCGCCGATACGTTGCACAGTCTTGTCGATATCCAAGTACAGTTCAATAATGGAAATCCACCTCCTACACAGGAGTTTACTAACAATAAGCCGTTGTGCCTACGGTGCGAAAGCTACAATCGATAATGCCTTGATGCCTTTAAAGTGTATCATGTTGCGCCACTCGCACCGAGGAAACCTAATCGGATCAAGTTAGGACTGGGATTTCCATCTCCGCCGATACAAACACACTAATATATTCCGTAAAATTACATGTAATTACAAAAAATTCCTTTAAGTTTACTCTGAGGCATTTCCGCGACATTTTTTCTTATCCTTTTATCGTTGTTACTGCTGTGTTCCGCTATGTCGTTCTGCTGCGTCGCCATTGATATTCGCGAATATTCGATCTCCCGTGCCAAAACAGTACAAAAAGAAATCCCTGCACGTGTATCCAGGTACTTGCAGACGCGACGTTGGCGGACAACCATCACCGTCACCGTACCTTTGCGACAAACGGTAATTCGGAAGGTATTACGATATGTAACTTGGCGGACGGCGAGACCTTGACATACAGCTTGGCCCTGATAAGAGGTCGAGCACCCGCGCTATGCAGCTACATCACCGTACGGGGTTACAAAAACGTGACCTCGGAGTGGCCGATCATCGCGGGACAGTTCCGCGTCCTGGTGGACTTGGCGCGTGGTCCGAACAAATTGGAGCTCGAGGCGGGCGGGCACAAGAGAAGAATTATCCTGATATACGAACCGAGAACCACGAGGCTACGGGTGACACCGGTCTACGTCATCTGCGCCGGTCATGATGGTTATTTTCAGGTGAGGACAAAATGATAACTGTAATGATCGTCTACTTTCTTTCAGATAGTCGTGTATCGCAGACTGTTGTATTTTCAGTCGTATTAAATCAAGGTCATTTATAAATTTCGTATTTACCATGCAAAATTACTATATATTGCTACATAGTTTTCACTATTTAAATAATAAATGTTAATACGAAACGAAGTTAAGATAGACGTATGTACATAATATTATAAATACGAAAATATTATTTTTTTATTCTTCTCGTTAATGCTATTTTTTATGATACTATTATTATTAGCTAATGCTATTATTATTACGTTATACATTAGTTAATGCAATGCAGATGCACAGATAGTAGAAAGAGGTACATAAATGTTTAACTATGTGCATATATATATATATATATATATATATGTATTTCGAATGTTACTATAAGTTATGAACTTTACACTATTATATTTTCAAAACAAAATGATCAGTAATTTGAACATTTTCATATAATATCTAAATTAGACGTTAATATTACAATAGTTTTTCATTGAAATCCTAAGTACGGTTTAGAATAAATAAAACACAGGACATTATAACCATTATAAGTAATACATATAAAAAGTATTATCTTTAATTGCGAATATTTCAGCTTCCGAATAGCCAATCAACTTCTAATTGCGCCAACAATTAGGACGTATTTTTAGATCTATATATAGCACAAGTTTTTCAACAAATTCTCAAAAAATCTGATTTTGAAGTTCAATTTCTACTAGGGTAGGTACGCGGCGGTCGTTTCAATAACCGTGCTTTGAGCAACATCATCGGAATCCTTGCGATGCATTTCGATTCTCCCGTCAAGCACTTCGATCTGCGCACAAAGTGCGATCGCGATAACGTAACAATTCGGTTACTCGGAACGTGGCGTGCGCCTCAATTATCGATCGTCATTCTGCTTCACGAACAGCCGTATTGCCGTGCCAACTCTGGCTGTGTATTCGGCCGCGACAGTTCGATTAAAGTCCCTTTATTACTCAATTCGGGGAAACGATCGCGATCTCGTTTATTCACGGCGGGACAGAGTGCATCGTGGAGATTACATTTGATCTGTGTTCTCAGGGACCACGGGGCGAGGATCGATCGCCTGAGAGCGCGGCAACGAGAATAGGGCTCGGTGCCAGACTGCTTCAAACTTTGACGGCCGAGAAGCTCCGTGAGGCCGGTTACGGCAGGAAAACCTTCCAATTGGAGAGAGATCTGGACGGGCCGGAATGCCTGGTGATGCATAGCATGCTTCACGTGGACCGTGCTCGGGCGATGAAGCAAAGGGAGCTCTGGGAGCTGGTCGCGCGCGAACTGATGACCGGCCCGTTAGCGTCGAGGAATCGCAAGTATTTGGCGTTTCTCTCGTGCACGAGGTACCGTGGCGCGCCCAGTCCTCGTACGCACGAAGACACCTTGGCGAGGACGCAAGGTCACGCTGCTCTCGGCGGAGGTGGTCTAGCGCTCTTTGGTTCAGCGTGTCTCCACACCTGGCCTACGTGTATGGCTCAGGTTGGTTGACGACACTGATCGCGAGTCGAGACGGAATTCCTGTTCGCCGAAAGATGAGCTTGGTTGGATCTACCTGACGATGTACGACCGAGCGCGTTTTGGTTGAAGGGAACAAGGTTTCTCGTTCCCACGAACCAAACGTGGTTCTTATAATCAGAATATCTGTTTCCTTTTACCAAAACACGGTGTTGGGTGTTTTGTAAATTGCCATGTGAATCCGACGAAACTCACTTTTTCGAGACCGTGCCAAGTTGGCCGAGACGCGACTTTTGGACCTGCTACACCCGGTCTCTCTCACTCATTTGCTTCTTATTATTACGTACAAATGTCATCGAGCGGATAACACTTTTAACAGCTGGGGTCACTACTGTAATTCAGGTATTACCGAGATTCTTGGACGTCACTATCGTGGACACCGAGCAGCTCATGGACGACAGCAACTACCGTGGCACTCACGGCGGCTGTTTAGCGACGACGTTAGGCTCCGTTCTGCACGAACTTGGTCACACCTTCGATCTCGGCCATACTCGGGAAGGGATAATGGGACGAGGATTCGACTACGTCGACAGGGTGTTCGTAGGCGCTGCTGGGATCGACTTCAATCGTAATCCTATCAGAAGGGACCCTCAACATACGACTGTCGCTCTTAGTAGACCTCTCAGTGTCACGGTGACTGTACAAGAATCCGTACTGTCGAGTCCGCGAAGAGGCAGACTGCTCTCGGAGACATCCAGACCAACACCGTCGCCTACTTCGAGACAGCTGCCTGGCAGACTTTCGGCGCCGGCTAGTCCGGAACTCAACAGATCGCTCACTAAGAGTCTGATCGCCTCGGAGCTCCCTTCGCAGTCCGATCGGACGTTCTGGGGGCCATCGTGCGCGGCGTTACTCGCGTATCACTGCTGGTTCAACAATGAGATGGACAGTCTTTCCAACAGGACATCTTTCCATCATCACGAGATAGAATATGACGGGAAAAGGTAAATTCCACCATTCGAGAGAATACAATCCCTTTAAAGAGGCAATTAAGAGACTGAGATGCTGGGATAACCTTCAGTTATGACCGATTAATCGTTTCTACTCGATATACATATCTTAATGTTGAAGTCAGGTTTAAGTTTTAAGTGCGACAATTGTGCAATAATTATGGATTCTCTTGATAAGGAATGTGGTGAGATCACGGTACGGGATACGTGTCATAGAGCTTAGGGAAGCCTCAGGAGGGATGGTTGTGGGCTCTCGTCAATTTCCTGGCTCGCGACCACCTTTGGAGGCTCTAGTACCATCACCTCCACCGCACTGCCTCACCACCCTCACCCTCGTGGCCGAAGACTCCACCGGGAACGTGCTCAAACATCCTCTTCCCACTGCCTTTTAAAGGTCAGCAGAAATAGTGATGGGTAAATTTACCTTCCAACCCGGCGAAGGTCGTTACACCTAATAAGCAATATCGGCTTAACACACATACACTCTGCAAATGATCTCTCTCTCTTTCTCTTTCTGTCCAAAGATATTATTATTTCCGTTTTTTTCACAGTGTATATTTCACAGTGCAGACATTGTAATAAAATGCGCTTAAAGGACAGCGAATTTTCTATTAAATTTTTTGCGTACTAGTTCTATATATATTTGTTGAGAAGCTACGTAGATAAATCTGAGATATTTTTTTAGTCATACGTATGTTATGACACAGCGAGTGTAAAAATACACGGGCGAACGAGATTATCCCCCTATAGATCTGAATTACGCACTGTCATCTGTATTTCACCGTCATTGCCATTTTATATTATTTAGTGGTTGATAATTTTCATTGCTCTCTACGGACACAGTAAAAAAAGTCCTAATTTCTCTTTAAGTCTCGATACCTCGTTGCGTTGGTGCAATATTTATTTAAGATTGTTAATCAAAGTATCATACTGCCACTATGTACTCCCTGCTTTCGAACATGTAGTACAACTTCGGCTAAAATAATGGCACTAAACGACTTATATGTAGAATTTACTAAGTTCCTTCCCCGCACTGTGCAATGTAATTTAATTCTATGATTTACATATTGTTGTATTCCACTAAGAATTTCCTCATGCGAGTATTTTCGGATATATGCGATTTGTACACAGTCGAGAATCAAACAAGAGCTTGCCCTCGTTGCTATATACGTAGACTTTGTGGTGTGCGCGCGCGTATAGGTATAGACATGATTTTTATATAATAACGCGTACGATTACATAGATCGAATGACGGATATTTAATAAGTATACCGAGTACACATTTTGCTCATGTACAATACTTTATATGTTAAATATGCAGGGAACTACTTTATAATAATTTATTTTGTAAGCATGGTCACTAGAGTGTTTCATGATGTAGCCTCAATTTCTATTAGTGCAAACAATTAATTAATAATATCCGTAACGTGCACAAATGCGTCAACGCAAATATAATGAATATACCAGCAAGATATGAGATATATATTGGAAGCGCTTGTATAACTACGTTGCGGAATTTTCATAGAACCTAGTATTATATTACACACATATATATATACATACACTTATATATATAAGTAGGATTTAAAGAGGCGATTTACGTAAGTTCTAACAAAACAGTCGTTAGGACAAAAGGCACTTGTATATTATTAAACATACACACACATATACACATATATGTACAGTATAATATCTTAAATTATTTTAATAAGTTAAGTTTAGCAAAACAAAAAACATTACGGAGACAATATATCGTACCACCGAGTTTGCAAGCTGGCGAGAAGAGAATATATATGTATTACTAATTAAAAATATATAAAATTACATAAAAATATAATCATACATTTTAATTACCTTACCATTCTTCCTTCGATGATAAATTTACAGTTGAATCATTGTTGCGATGTTTCGTCATCAATCCCGTATAACTGTGCGATATAAAATCTTTTAGCGTGATGATCTGCGGATTTCTTTAAAGCCACTGTGGCTGTTATAATTTCTGTGACAAGTAGAAACGTCATGACACTATTGGCGATTGTTTCACTAAAATGAGGTCTGGTTTTGCGATCAAGAAGGAGGAACATCTCCAAAGGAAAATGTATAAGAGTAGATATAAGCCAAAAGCTCGCCAGTTCTGGAATCTGAAACGTATCTTTAATCTTAACATATTCCTACACAATTCATCTGTTCTGCTTTACCGAAATAAACTACCTTTTCTGTTAAATTCCCAAGGTATCCCAAATACAATCGTATACCTTCCAGTATGGATATAATGATAAATACTGCCACAGTTATAAATTTGTATACATCAGTCAAATAGTAATACTGTAAAACAAAATAACATCTCCCTAGCACTGCTGTTAAATATAATAACTACTAAAATACATCTTCCATACTTTGCTATATTTACTTTTGTGTCTAAATTAACAAGTATTACAAGAAGCCACAGAGGATATACCCATACGTTAAAATACAATGCCATTTGTAACGGTAAGCTGGACTGTATTTGATTTCCTGCAAAACGCAAGAATTGTAACTCATAAAGACCCTAAGTTCATTTTCCTCAGAGACATTAGTTGTGTGCGTATAAAATAGAGATCCCAATAAGTTAACAATTAATTCGGCTATTAGTGATTTTAGAAAACATTGAGATAAATCCGTAATGTTTATCTTCACGTTCTTAACTAAAGCATTTCAGGCAATATATTTGAACTGTCGATATTTATGTATTTAGTAGAATAACTACCATATCGTTTTATATCATTGATAAATGCATTAAGAATCGTTTTATATCATTGGTAAATATATTAAGAAATAAGGATCGTAAATCATCATGAATTCATCATGAAATTGTTTTCATCGTTTTTATTCAATATATGCGTCATACATACCTATGTCATAAAATTCTTTTCTTCTATCATAATATGCCAAACCGGGAAATATATGATCCGATGCGGTAATAACTGATGTTTTCCACATCCACATTGTTTATGAGATAAGACTTTTATATTTCAAAATTAATCGCAAAATTCAATTATACACAATTTGAAATCTACACTACTGTTCGATCGTATAAATATAGTAGTCAAGATATACTAATTACTTCTAGTGTGTATGTGTGTGTGACTTATTATTTGCAGATAAAAAATCCTTTAACATGTCGTTAATTTGTACTATTTGAAAAAATTCTCTAATTTGTCATCGAATCACACCAGAGAGAATTTTAGATCCATCAAACTACTATACTAAAATTCTAACCAATATTTTGGCGCCATCTAAGAATTTATTCCGTCAACACATAAGAATATATTGACTAAACCTTTCAAGAAGAGTTGCAGAAACTAATGGTAAAGAAGCTGAATATAGTCACTTTAGCCCATGTCAGATTATCAAAAATTAAAGATTTAATATAATTTGATACATAGTGTATCAAATTTAACAAATTTTATATGTGCTGTATTAAAGTGGACTCATAACTTTTAATTAATTCAGTCTTTTATAACTTTTCATAAAACCTTTATTTTTTTCTTTCTCTCATAATTTAATGTTTCATACGAAGTATACAAAGTTTATTGATCAACAATGCATATACTCAACTTACATTACTAACATAAAAATTTACAGAATGCATACAATGAAATATGGCTTTTATTTACAAGTTTAAAGAATTCATTGAAATGAAGAAGCATATAAAAAGGTTTTTCTCATATAATAGTAAATCACTTTTACAAATTATTGTTACAATCAAAGTATAATATAAAAGATAAATTGCAAATTTCATCCATTATAACATGATCATTTTTTCCCAGATTTTTTTATACCACCAGTGACTAGAGGACCTTTTTGACTGGCTTTCTTTGCTGCTTCCGCTAGTGCCTTTTGTTGTTCTTTCTGTTTCTGCTTGAATGCAATGTCTTCATCATCTAAAACTTTGCTTTCCTTCTTCGGGGCCTTCAAAGGCTTCTTCTTACCTCCTTCTCGGGTCGACATTCTAAAGTACATAAAATTTACATATTACAATTGACTGCTTATTTTAGAAATGTATGCTGTTTTATTGCAATGACATATTGCACGTGTTAAAACATAACCTTTAATAAAACTGTCGATAAATAAACGGATATAATAACATAATCATACTACAAATATATCAGGTTAATATTATTTATACAGTTAATACAGATACAGAATTAACAATCGACAAGTTACTTTCCAATATATACGATGCACTTGAAAAGTACGCACGCGACAGACGGCTTAACCCGTATTCACTGCAAATACAATACTTATAACTACAGAATTCCGTTAATATGTAAATCTCTTTGACTTACTTATAACTATATTAAATTCTCAGAAGTATTCGCGAGCGATTTGTAAGTGAAAAAGTAGCACTCCGAAGCTTGATCACTATTAAAAACAACTGTTTATATGTCCCGAGAATTTCTAGAGCTGATCGTGCAGATTGTGCTGCCACAAATCGATAGTGTAAGAGAAACTTAAGAATAGCTATGCCATAAGACTCTTCGCTAACACTTCTTTAGTTGCGTCCTCTGAAGAAGTAGATGGAAAATACGTCAGTCACAACACCGACGAGGTAACTGGCGTCTCACGACGTAAGAAACATAGGGAACGATATTATCAACCGTTCCTCAAATCGAAAATCTCTATCGTCGGAAAGGTAGAACGAAGAAGTCGGGAAGAAGACAACGAGGAAGAATGAAATAAAGAAGAATAAAACAAATTGGAGGATGATTATGAAAAGAAAAAGAAGGATGATACAGACGCAGGAAAAAAGATAGGAGCCCGCGAGTTTTGACTATTTCCAGCCGCTTTCCGCGTGTTTGCGCACGCAAAATGATGCTTCATTGCCTCTTCAATTGAAGCATTGGAAGCTACCTCCGGTTTCACCACTTAAAATGTCTCTTGGTACCAATTAATAGATTAATCTATTATCAAGATCTACTGACAAATCCTGTTATATTTCTGTTAGCAAGCTGTCGAAAAAATTTATAGCAGATATTACGCAAAATTTGCTTTTATTGCTTTGGTTGCTCGGCCGATCTTATATTGGGTAACATTCATTCAATATACCTCTAATGAATGATAATATAAACAATATTGGACCAATATATCGCCAATGAAATGTGATACTAGGGTGTTGCAATGCTGTACCGAAATACGGCATCATAGTGCTGCTGGCAGTACCAAAGTAATTTCGGAATAGCTTTGACAGTACACTGTTCTGACATCAAGCAGTCGCACTGCCAGTAAAAAAGGAACAAACCATTGGTTAGTCTTCCGACACTATATTATGGTTAGAGTAGCTTTTCAAATAAAGGCCGAATTGCGACTTCATTATTTTCGTCACGATTTTCATCACGTGCATTCTCGGAGTGTCTACACAACCAAGTCTTAGATTAAAGGCTATATTAATACGTTCAGTACTGCATAGACTATCGGTGGCTCACGTTGGACTTTCCGTTCAAACGCATATTTTACGTTACCTCTTCCATTCGTAATAATGATATTTGTAGTATCATAAATATTATAAGATATATCCTATAAAGATATATAATAAAAATGATAAGGATATATGATAAGTATAATAAATGCGATAATCGTGGAATATCGGTGGTCTACGCGGTACAAGGTATGAACGTAATTTCGTGTGTATGTATTGATTGTAGCGGTTGAGTTCATTCAGCAGAAGTAGAAATGTGCGCATGTCAAACGCCGGAAATTTTAACAGAATAGGTCAGTTCGGCAGTAGAGCTGAATGAAGAACGTCTTCGCACTCCTGCGGGCCTGCTACAAAATTACTTTAATTTCCTCGAGACAAGAAATTTTCGCAATATCACGATTACTGAACGTTTCACTGGATCTACCGTGAGAAGAAATCAAGTCGATTCTGCATATTTTCCGACGTATCCACGGTGGAAAATCAGTGATGTATCGATCGGGTCTGTTCATATGGTGTGCCCTTCTACTTACCGCCGCTTGCGCAATGGAAAATCCGGGGTGGTCCTTGCGCGAGTGGAAGGATACCGCGCAACACGATTCACGTGTCAACTTCGTTAGTACGTTAAACCACGACAAAAATGCCAAGAGGAGTGATGAGATCTCGCACGAATATCGTAGCGACTACATTAAAGACATCCAAGAGGAAGGAAATTTGAATATGTTGGCCGAGATCCGTGCCAATTTCATGAAGATCGACGACAGGGACAACCATATCATCCTAGATGGGCTCTATCCAGAGTACTACAAAAACTTCTTGAATAAAAGGAATAATACTGTAAACATCTGTTGCAGCATTGGTTATCGCATGACATTGGACTACACATGCGTGCCTGACAATAATCGTGATTATATTTTCCCGATAGTATATGGGACGAATAACACAGTGAATGAGCTTTTCCAGTTGACCGTGTGGGATCCGTGTAAAATCTTTACGAAAAACATACGCTTACTGTATGATCGTGACATTGATGAATACTATATGTACGAAGTTCTGACCAACGGCTCAGTATTATTATTATATCATAATATTCTCGTTAGTCCGTCGTTTTACTGTTTCACCGTCATAAGTAAAAACAAGTACGAACTGGTCGTGTGCGCCTTTACGAATTACGAAAATCAGATTAAGTCATCGAACGAAAATACGAAGTATAATAGAGGCATACTCATCTGTTTGACGGTGTCTTTGCTGTCCTTGCTTTTGACGTTCGTTTGAGCTACAGAACTTGCAGGACTATATGTTTCGCGGATACATCGGCTCCTTGTTCGTCCAATACATATTATTCGCGATCAGTCTGGTTCTCAAAGGAATTCCGAAGAAGAGCTGCCTCGTCTTCGGTACAGTTTGCACAAATCATGTTAAAAAATTAAATTAAATTTGTTTGTATGTGTGTATGTGTGTGTACGTGTTAGTTAAAGGTGTATGTGTGTGTTAGTTAAAGTTTGTTATTTTATTTATCTACTTACTTATTGATCTTAATTACTCCGTTTAACCTCAAGCTTTTTCATATTTATATTTTTAAATATTTTATAGGTACAATATGCCTCAGCTCTTAACCGATCATGATTGATCGGTTGGATTGGATTGGCGTAGTATAATGTACCAAAGTGGGAGAACATTATTAGGCATAACGTAACATAGCTAAAGAGGCCAATCTAATGCGGAAATGTTGGGCCGTTGATAAAACTTAAATTCAAAGGTTAATTATAAGACCACGATAACATCAAATACGTCATGTGTTTTCCAACGCGTCTATTACATGAATAACATAAAAACAAAAGCGATCCCCCTTTTCGCCATCACGTAAGGTACATAGTTTAAGTGGTCAACCGGATTCAAGCTCTTCAATAAAATTTAGATCTAAAGATTATTTGTGAAAACTTGATAATGTCAAGTATTTTCCAAACCATATGTTTCACAAACTGCATTAGGAAATTTCCCAATCTCTCACATCTCTCTTCTATAAAAATTGTCATCTGCCATCCCCAAAATTCTTTCTATAAAAACCCTATTCTCTTGCCGCCGACGCACTCTATTTTCTGACTAACTCTCTGTGGGAGCCGGAATCAGTCTCGTAGTAAACAGTCTCTCTAAATACCCCACAGTATTTTTTTAGTAGATTTGCTAAATGAAAAAATCTTTCGGCTCGACATTTCGGCATAGCTACGATTCTATCGTCGCGAGTGCATCTACCATCCAGCCAATTTATCCACAAATTGAGTCACGAGACGACAGCTCAAGTTAGCTCTGGCTCCTAAAGATACCAGAAATCCGGTACACCATAATCAACAAACCCATATTCTGCGTACTATTCACCACAGTCGATCCACCTAAATTGTAAGTCTCTATTTCGTATTTAAACATGGCTTTTAACCCTTTGCACTCAAAGGGTTAAAAATATATAAAATTGCATTCTACCTAAACAGCAACGACTTCGCCAAAAATAAGTGGGTTCAAAACGAACAAAGATCTAGCCAGATGTGCATGCGTACACTTACGGAACAAACTGAACACACGACAGCGACCTGCATAAGACTTTTTATACTGATCGTGAAAATACAGGTTACAGATGTTTTTAACTAGATTTTATATTGCCGTGTAAACGTAATCCAGTTGTCGGTAGATGATTACGAAATAGCACCCCTGAAAGCAGCCATCCCGGCGTTTTGTGAAGTACGGTTTTTCCATGTGTCTTTTGAGAAAGTATATGTAAACTATATTTAGGTTAGACAAAGAGCGACGTTACCCACGTGCGAACATTGTTCCTTCGGTCTGTTCTTTTTAGCTGTACTGCTTAACTTATTGTATCAGTTAAGCAATATAGCTAAAAAGAACAAACCACTTGTCTTAGCTAACATTTGCATATACTTTCTCAGAGAGCGCGTCGTAAACTGTCCCCAAAGTTAAACCGAATCAATTTGCATTATGAGTGTGATAGGTAAGTACTAATTGTGAAATAGCCCAGTAAACAAAATATTAGTAGCACGTGTGCAAATTAGATCAGAACCATAAAACTATAGTTTTCTATGTCCACATTAAGTTCGTGTTCTATCGATAGAGCCTGCTGACAGGCAGTGCGAGCAGATTGATAACAGAAAACACACAGAATTTATCGAACGCAGATTCTGTCCGATTTCTGCTGCAAATTTGCGTGCAAACTTGTGCTATTTTGTGTGGTTTTTGCCACCAATCTGCGTACATTGTTTGTTAATCAGATACTGTCACATTTTTGGTAGTAATTTGGTAACATAGTCAAATTAAACAGATTCTCTGTGTTGGATTTGTTGACTTTTACATATATACATATATATATATATATTCAGATAGTCAAATCTGTACAGATTCTCAACAGAGTCTGCTACAAATATTTCACATGAGAAAGTCTAACACAGAGAATCAGAAGCAAGAAAACGCAAGCCTATATATATAGTCAAATTAAACAGATTCTCTGTGTTAGATTTGTGTATATATATATATATATATATATATATATATA